TGGCTGATCATGCAATCTGAGGCTTTTATGCTTTAGATAGAGCTATTCCACATTAATTTGTGTCTGGCTGATTCTTGTTGCTCTCTTTTAAAATTTCATTTGAGACGTTCACATCCTTTTTAGGATTCTATAACTGTAGAATTCTTTGTCTACAGATTGTTGCATGTGCCACTCCGTCAAAGGCGAAAATGTATGCATCTTTATTTCTTCCTATTAGTGTAGAAGTTTAGTACTCTGTCCATTTTAATTTATGTGAACCTATTTCCTTTTTAGTCCGTGCCAATAAGGATGACCCCGTTCTATATTTGAAAACAATTTACCTTTATACAATGGTTTATAGCCACACAAAATATATGTGCCTCTTTTACACCACAAGTTCAAAAGTCTTCTCTTTTTTCTTAAACTTCGTGCCCAGTTAAATAGGTTCACATAAATTGAAACGGAGGGAGTAATAGATATTGTAAAACTGTCCTCTTAATATTTGAAATTTGGTGTGTGAAAATCAGACCTGAAGGATTTATTTGGTGATGGCAAAGTGGGTTATTTCGAGTATGCGGCAGAAATGACTGTAAGTTTCTTCTTGGTGTATAATTTTGTTGTGTTGGCTAATACGTAACATGCGCATTCTGTTGCCAGCTATTCAGTAATTTACCTAACCTATCTTTCTTTAGGTAGAGTCCGATGATGCTTGTGCAGATAACGAAGCCACATTGGCTAGGATGAACAGCTTTCTTGATGATGCGCTACATTCTTCTTGTGAAGGAATCATGGTGAAATCCCTTGATATAGATGCTGGATACACACCATCAAAGCGCACTGATGCATGGTTAAAGGTGTCAACTCGAAGAATGATATATTGCATTAGCAAGATTAGAGCTCTAGTCCTAATCCTGGACCTTGTCTGCAGGTCAAGAGAGACTACGTGGAAGGACTAAGTGATTCCTTGGACTTGGTTCTGATTGGTGCTTGGTATGGGAATGGAAGGAAAGCAGGATGGTAATGATCAACTTTTCTTCTCTTTTTGATTTTCTTATGCAGACAGTTAAGGCATCAAACTGCAAATTTGCAGGAGTTCGAGCATCTTTCACCCAGAAATCTGTTTTAGGTTCTGAGATAGCTTAGCAGGAATACCTTTCTAAATATGTACTATGCGGAAAGTTAAGGAGTAAACTGCAAATTCCGACGAATGGAGCATTTCTTCACATAGAAATCTTATTTAAGGTTTTGAGATAACTTAGCGTTAGCGGGAATGTCTACTCTAAAGATGATTGTGCCATGCAAACTTTGCTGGCTTTACCAATAAAGTGGGAGCATATGCTGCTACTGATGTCATTTTGACAGTTCAGTGCTACAAACGTCTGAGTTGTTTCCTAATGTTTATATGTTATGCATATATTGTTTGGGCACGTAAGAGAACGGCCCCCTCCCTCTTTGTCACTTCTTTTATGACCGCTGATAAATTGCATTGGATTCTTTTGCATGAATGCTTTCATGTGATTAATGTGTTACTTTCTAATGTTTATATGTTATGCATATATTGTTTGGGCACGTAAGAGAACGTCCCCCTCCCCCTCTCTCGCTTCTTTTATGACCGCTGATAAATTGCAATGGATTCTTTTGCATGAATGCTTTCATGTGATTAATGTGTTACTTTTTAAATTACAGGTATAGTCCTTTCCTTATGGCCTGCTACAACCCTGACACTGAGGAATTCCAGAGTGTCTGCCGGGTCATGTCTGGGTTTTCTGATTCATTCTACATAGAGGTGAGTTCAATAGCGATATAACTTGATTACCATGTCCCACATCTTATAGTCTTGGACTTGTAGATACTAGTATTGGCATTCTGGTGAACAAACTCTCCTTTGATTAACTTGTCTTTTGATCTGTATCAGAAAGATTGTCTTTTGATATCTGATAACACCCCCCCCCCCACACACAAAAGCCGTCTTTTGATAACTTGAATGCTAGTTCATGCCCTTCCCCCATGTTATTCTACTGGCAATCAAGTTGAAATTGGTATAGGAGTTCATTCTCTGAATCTTTCAAGTTTCAATCACTGAATCTTCATTCCATCCATTTTGCCTGCAGAATTTCCCTGCGTGTAGTCATTTAGGTCTGTTGAGTAGCCTATTGTGGCTCGATAAAATTTATTCTGATGTAAGCTTTTATATGGTTACTCATAGTAAGACATTCTTTTTTTTGCGAATTACGAGGATAATTGGTTAGTGATATCTTTTATTGTGAAATTTTGAGGGGTGCAGAGTTATTGATTTTAACCGTGGTTCGCTTTTATAGATATCCCCACATGTTGGGATCAAACTGGGTTTGTTGTTGTTGTTTCGCTTTTATAGATAAACACAAAGAAGGTCACATAGGTCCACGACATGAGTGGGAGTTGGTCATCTTTTAAAGAAGCTCCTGCATTTTTATTTGCTTTGTTAGGATCCTGAGGTGTGCAAGGTCTTTGAGTTTGATTGTGGTTCACAAATATAGAGAATAGAGCCCATAGATCAGCCCGTGATAGGCAGTTGGTTATCTTGTTAAATAGCTCCAGCGTCTATGTCATCTGTTTTAGGTAATAGACGGGGTTGTGAGTATCTATCTGTAAACCCTTACTCTGAGAAGATCCAATTTATTGTTGAGGCATAGCCAGATACTCTGTGTAAGTTGGATGGACAAACTGCTGTAGCCAATTAATTGTCGATTGTCTATTGGAAGAGTGCTTTATATGGGGAGTAGAATTAAAATCTTGCTATACGTGAGAGCTGTGGTTTTGGGGTGTTCTGTTGGGGTTATTTTTTTTTTTTTTTTTTTTGTGGGGGGGGGGGGGGGGAGATATGAGTGGGAGAAAGAAAATACTCAGAAAGTGAGTGCTGTCTCTTTAAATATATCTAGTTACTTGCGCATAAAAGCATGCTTGACCATTACCCTTAAAAATATCTCTTGAATTTTCTTTTTGTTGTCATATTTCTGCGTGTCTCTATTTATCAAATTCTTATGTATGCATTTGGAAATGGTGTTTGAAGAAGGCCTTCATTTCCTACAAACATTTCTATCATCAATGTGAATCTCGAGTGCGCAGAGCACCTATGTGGGGTTAGTGTCCATGGAATGTAAAAGTTAAGAATAACAAAATTCTACTTTAAGAAGAAGAGAAGGTAGGAAGGGTATTACATCAGTGGAAGAAAGTGGAAGAAATCAGTCACTTTCTGGCACTCAGTAGAGTAATTGTGACTTGCTGATTTAACTTTTTTCAGATGGAGGAGTTCTTCTCTGGGGACAAAATCTTCAACAAAAAGCCACATTACTATCGAACTGCAGAAGTGGCCGATATGTGGTTTTCTCCCGAAGTTGTGTGGGAGATAAGGGGTGCTGACTTCACGGTGTCCCCAGTGCATCATGCAGCCATTGGTTCAGTCCATCCATCTCGTGGTATTTCTGTCAGATTCCCTAGGTTCATTCGGTGTTTGTCAGATAGGAAACCTGAGGAATGTAGCACATCTGCAGATATAGCCGACATGTTCCGCTCTCAGACTAGAAGAATGGATGTGAATGTTGAACATGAATTGTAGATTTTGGTTATCCTAAAGGAACCCCTCTCTCTCTCTCTCTAGTGTTGAGCACATTACTAATCTACACCAGAGTGTTTAACAAGAAGAAACATTGTTATTGGTGTGTTTTTGCACTTTGGTATCCTACTCATAGAAGTTTGTTTAGGAAAAATGACATTGTATAGATGCTCTCAAAATAATAGCCGAAAAAATGTATATATTTTTTTTATATATATATACATTTTGTATGTTATATACAAAAATTATACAAGTTTTATATATTTTTTCGGCTACCGAATATAAATAGTTTCGGGCGCGGGCTAAAAGTGATAATAGCAGAAACATTGTTATTGGTGTGAGTTTGCACTTTGATATCCTACTCAGAAATGCTGAAAGATTGTGTTACCTCCGGGTTCAGCTTTGCTGTTGCCTTTGCTTAAAAGGAGAAGTGGAAGCACCCATAATAATAAAGCTAGCGTTTGGCCATATATTTTCAATTTTTTCACGGGTGAAGTTTGGTTTGAAGGTGAAAAAATATGTCTGGACATAAGTTTTCAAAAATATGTTTTCCAAATTTAATTTGAAAAAACATGAAACATATCTTATACCCACAAATTTTAAAAATTATTATAAATACCCAAACCATTATCAATAATATTCATTATATTATCGCAAACCATAGTCCTGAATATAAATGAATTTGATACAAAATTATCATTTTTATAATGAACTACATGATACACTATCAGATGACCGAGAAGACGAAACAACATTGTTACAAAATAATAAATTGTGAGCTTTTTTATAAAATACAAAAGTTTGGGGCAATTTTTTTAAAAATATAATAGTGATATTTTGGTCTAAAACCAGCTAGGATTTGGGATTCGGGGTTTTGCTGAAATGTAGGCAAAATCTATGGCCAAACATGTGTTTGCCAAATAAAATCCAAATTTATTTTGGCAAAATCTATGGCGTATATCAGGTAGCCATTGTAAAGGGCCGCTATTTAGGAATTAGATAGTGCGTCTGGAATTTAAATTTTTTTGGGACAAAAATATCCTTAATTGTTCTGAATTTAAGATTTTTAGTTTAAAAATTCAGGACAAAATAAGTATAAGGTAATCTCTAAATAGCATCAGAATAGAATAAAATAAAGAGTTGTATAATTCACGTGTATGAGTAGTTTAATTGCGAATGAGAATGAATAAATTGTTATGCAGTGATTAATAATGAAGGAATTAATTATCCAGCGACCAATAAAGAAGATTGTTATGCAGGAATTTGCATGAAAAACATTTTTATTTTTAAATAGCTTAAATCCCTATTATTGGTATGCATATTTTCTAGTAGTATTATATACTATGTATAATTTTTACATTATTTAATGGAATGGAAATATATAAATTTCCCCCAAGAGCTATGATGGACTTGATGAAAACTCCCGCCAGAAACCTACTATACCCGGTAGCCGGAGAAACAGCAGGTCACACGTATAAAAGGAAATCATTTCGTCCGAGCAACTTCACCACAAAATAGAGGGGCTGCTGCTGCTTCGTTTTTTCTGGGTATTTTGTTCTAATCAGTTGCCTTTTTCTTGAAATTGTTGGTTATGGCGGTGAAGAAAACTTGCTCTCTTTGCTTAATATTCTAGAACTTGAGGTCGTCTTCGCTGAATCCGACATCCGGGGTTCTCACCGTTTACAGCTTTGGTTAGTTTCGATACAGTATGAGTGCGGTGAACATCACGAATGTCGCCGTGTTAGACAATCCGGCGTCTTTTTTGACCCCTTTCCAGTTCGAAATCTCTTACGAGTGCGTTACTCCTCTCGATGATGGTGCTTTCTCTGTCTCTTTCTTCCATTTCTCTCTTTTGCTAATTATTGGTACCTATTTTTGCATGTTGTATCTCGGTACATATTAGGGTTGCTTTTATATACAGAGAGTTCATGTTGTAATATTTATGTTTTTTTTTTTTTTCATATTGTAGGAATTAGTATTTGTTTATTTCATTAAAGCACTGGCCTTCTTTTTGCTAAGCTATTGTAGAATCTGGCAACTTGAGTAGAGATATCCATAGGCTAAATATATTAGTGTTTGAGGTCACCTCAGATGAAAGATACCGAAAAGGTTTGTGCATAAATTTGGTTGATTTGCTAGAAGTAGGGTTCTATAGTGAGGTGGTTCTTTCAATCATAAATATTAGTACTTAATTGGTTGGTCTTGCTAATATTATGCGGGAAAAATAGCATCATAAGAGCAATGTTGCGTATTATCAAATGCTCAGAGGAAGTTGAATGAGAATTATAGGAGTAATCAGTCGTAGGGCTCATAAAATTTGTGGATTCCTTCATGTTGGAGTCTATTGCACAGTGCACTTGAACAGATATTTCATGTTTTATGTGCAGCACAAAAGGCATATATTTCCTCCAAATAGTCCAAATGTTATTCCGTTTCGGATTGTGGATATTTGAATTTTAAGAATGAACTCGTTGTGAGCCTCTCCCTTTTATTTCATTTTACTTACTGCCCACGGTCTAACAATATTAATACTTAATTGGTCTAACTCGTTGATCATCTGATTTAGATTATTTGCATGTGTGCCCAAAGCAATGAAGCATCTTGGCATGTCACTTAAAGTATCCTTTGTAGTTGGTTCAAGGTGGGGGAGGTGGTGTCTTGATGTTAGTTCCGGCAGTAGCTTCAAGAAAGGGATTTTCATTTGCTGATGACCGCAGCAGAGAGATTCTAATACTGCTGTAGGAATTTCATAGTATAATATTTAATACCATATTTTATGTGAAGCATTAATACATTCGGTAGTCCTCCATTTCTGAATCCTAATGCATAAGATGAATCAAATAACCTACTTTGCATTATTTCCTTTGGGGCTGTTTGGTCTGTTTATGGGATTTGAGGGTGACATAATACCATCAAACTAGGGATGGATCTGGATAGAACTTTTTTGTGAAATGGATTGTTGTGAGGGGATATAACAATGCTTATAACGGTGAAAAACTGTATATATTTAATAGTTTTTATCATTCGCTTGATTCGTGGGATACAGAGTGCAAAACAACTTCTGAACCAAGGTGTTCATCTATTAAGTGTCAATTAAGTAAAATATTTTCGGAACAATTCATAGGAGTTGGTCAAGTGGCACAATGGTTGGTAGAGGTTGGGAAAACTCTGGAAGGGATGAATTAGTTTATGACCCATGGTATGAATAATCCCCTTAGTGAAAATGTGATCTGCCAGGAGCCAGCCATCAAATCATCAATTCGAAGAACAGATATAAGATAGTTTTGTGTAACTGCTTATTCACCCCTACAGTCAAACCAAAGGTGGATGTTAGTCCTCCATAATCTGGTTGAGTGTTATTTATTCCGTATCAGAACAACAAATGACATTGGGACCTCAACCATCTGTCCCAACTTTTAAGGACTCTTTAGGTGGTTAAAGGGAAGAGAACGGACTTAAAGTTTTAGCATTTTTTTAGGGGACCTTCTATCTTACTCAAGAACTCCTGTCAATTGAAGTTTGTGATTCTGTCTGTTGCAGATAATGAGATCTTACAGATACATTCTGTTGAACTAATTGGGAAAATTATCTTTGTTATATGCTAAAATTGAGAGGAAATCGAGTCTACTGCTGTTGTGAATTTTCTATTTTAGATGCATACTATTCCAACTTAGTTTTCTTCTTTCATGTGTTATTGCATATACTTACTTTTGTTATGTAAGTATCTGCCTGTTGAAAGATAAATATTTGCTTAATAAGGCCACCCTTTTTTAGGTTATCTGTTTGTTTTGGTAACACAGTTCCCTTCTCTTTTAGGATCAAAATTTCAGTAAAATGATCTATGGATTGAATGAATAGAAGCTTAATTCTTTGTGGATAGAAATTCTCCCACCAAAATGAGTTTTATAAAAAAAGAAGAAGTTGGGTGCGTTCTGGCTGTTTCACGGATTAAGACTACCATACTTATTTTCTTTCTGTAATCTAATTTGTTTGATTGAAATGGGTCTAAATGGAGCGACATGGTTAGTGAGGATTCATGCAGCTGACCCCAATTAACTTGGGATTGAGGCCTAGTTGTTTCGTTGTTGTTGTTGTTGTAACTATAAATTATTTGATTTTGGTTGCATCAGATAAATCTGTTTTGTCATATGCTCTGCAGATTTGGAATGGAAGCTTATCTATGTTGGATCAGCTGAGGATGAGACATATGACCAACTTCTAGAAAGTGTTCTTGTTGGCCCCGTAAATGTTGGAAATTACCGCTTTGTCTTGCAGGTATTATCTCCTGGATTTCCAATGGTTCATTATAGAACTAATGCTTTGTCTGCCTCATTGAATTTATGCTATATTTTGTAAACTTGATGCTAGGCGGACCCTCCAGATCCTTCAAAAATTCGTGAAGAAGACATTATTGGTGTCACTGTGCTCTTGCTGACCTGCTCATATGTGGGGCAGGAATTTGTACGAGTTGGCTACTATGTGAACAATGATTATGATGATGAGCAACTGAGGGAAGAGCCTCCGCAAAAAGTCCTAATTGATAGGATTCAAAGAAATATATTATCAGACAAACCCAGAGTAACAAAGTTCCCTATTAACTTTCGCCCTGAAAATAGTGAAAGAGAGGAGCAAGCCCCTCCACCTGATCACGTGGTTGAAGAAGAAGATCCAAACGAAGGGCAAATGCCTTTGCCTAAGAGTAAATTAGATGAAGATGGAGCCTAAATGAAGATGTTAACTTTTTTTCTAATGTTTCTGTTTTGGTTTGACAGTATTGTGCCTTGGAAAGTATCTCATCCGGGGTTCTTGTGGATGATATCTGATCACTAAAGCCTGTCGTTTTTATTCTTTTTTTTCTTCCTCTTCTTGTGATATATGTATCAAGTCTAGTCGCATTTTGAAGCAGTTAACCTTTTTTGGGGTTAAGAAGAAACTGTATGTAGACTAGATACCAGTTTTGGCTTTATAATTTGGTCCAAAATGGTTGATATGCAGACTCTAATGACCTTATGGAACTGATGGTCTTGACTTTATTTTTGTGCATCTGAAGTACAATCAGCAACGTTATTAAGCAAGATATCTTTATTTTCGTACGTAAAAGTACGTCGTAAGCAAACTGATGTAAGACCAAAAAGTGAGATCATCTTTGAAAATATATAAAGTAAGTTAATCATGTTGCTTTGGAGGTTACAAACTAAGATCATGAACAACAAGTACCAAAAGGGTTGGAAGGTTCAGAAGCTAAACGAATTAAAGAAAATAATGTTTCGTAGAAAGTCGACAAGTTGGGAGTGTTATAAACCGTACCTTTGGGTGAGACTAGGGTACTTAACATGATAGGAGGGTTATGTTATGAGTTATTTTAGTCACATGATAGTCATGTGTTAAGTTTTGACATCAAGCGAGTTGTGGAACAAAAGTCGATGAAAGTTATCACAAGTTATGTTCATAAATTTTACTGAAATTTGGATCAAATGTCACTGAGCTTTTCTCCCAATATACTTAGAGTTACAGGGTGATCCACCCATCAAATTGAAGATCTATGAGTCTAGTTTCTAACGCATTAAACCGTTTGTTAATACGACATCGGAGTAGAGAGATATATGTGTTTTTACAAGACTACGCAGACTGGATAGGTGACAAGTAGATGTATCACCTACTTGCATAAATGAGAGGACTAAATATGTCCAAAAAGGGGGTATTTCGGGTCGGCCAAAGGGTCATTTTAAGGTATTATTTCCTTCATATATTACAGTCATTATAGAGCAAAAAAAAAATCAAAGATAAGCCCCTGCAAACTTCTCCCAAAAAATCCAACACAAATCCTAAATGATTTTCTCTTCTTTTCAATTTCTAGTTGGAGGAAAACCTAAGGATTGAAGAACCAAGATAGGAGCTGAGATATTCACCAAATAAGGTAAGTATACTACTCTCTTTCATCCATTTTTTTCTGTTGGAAAAAGTATAGAAATTCATTCTATAATTGTAAGAACTCACGGGACGTTGATCGGAAGCCGTGGGTTCGAGTTATTCAACTTGTAGTGGACTATTTTATGGGCTGTTTTGTGTTGTTGTTGGGTTGAATGTTTTGTTACTATTTTATGGAGTTTTTGAGGAGAAAGGGTGTGGAGAAACACCACATAATGGCAGGGTGGTGGGCTGGTCGTTCGTCATAATATTTTCGGATTGTTTGACACTACTAGAGTTGTCGTTTTGTGTATGAAATGATTGGGGTATGTTGGGATGTTTTGTGGTATTTTATGATCGATATAAGATTAGAAAATGATGTATATATGTTCTTATTGTTGTGTTCTTGTGTTGTTGGTGTTATCTCGAATTGGGAGGAAGTAAAGATTATAGGGGAGATGATGCCCGTTTTAATATAAAATAAGCTTGTCGTTCGTTGTGCGATAGTTGTACCTTTTGTAACTTAATGATAGTATTATTATCGTTGGTGTAGATTAAGGTGCAAAGAGACGAGTTCAATGTGGTTATTAGAAAGATTGTGATAAGGTATGTAAAGGCTAAACCCTTCCTTCATTTTGGCATGATCCTGTAGCTACATGTATTTGATAACGAGACATAAAGAGAAGTTCGTATTCTTGAATTTATGTACATTATCCCCGTCTCATAGTTACAGTATTCTTCCTTATCGAGACTTTATATTCAATTAAGTATTGTCTTCTTCCAGTTTTCATTTTGACACTTTAACTAAGGCTAGTATATGTTGAACACTTAAACCTTATCTTACTTATACCTATTAAACACCTTTTTTATAACCCTAAACAAACTTCAAAACGTGAAGCTACTTGCCATTGACCTAACAAATGACACCAATAAGAAAAAGACAAGTCAACAGAGAAAAAGAAAAGAGAAAGAGAAATGGGTTTCATTCCATCTGTTTAAACGCTGAGTATGAGTATTGGGGAGAGTCTTCTATGGAATCTAATTTCTTTCAAGCTCTGCAGCAAATTAATGATATATGAAGTTGGTCCATTGACTAAAAAATAAATATCTAAAGACAAAAAATAATTTGAAGTTCATGGAAAATTTGCAGAGCTTCATGGTCGGAAAATTTTCCATCGTCGTCTTCTTCGTCAATATCATACTTCACCAATTTTCTTTAATCCAATTTCTAATCAATTTTAATTATCTCATCAACTCAACCTCCTGAGTTAACTTGTTCTCCGTCTCTGAATTTTTAATTCTCCGTTTCATATAAGGAGGGAAGGGAAAGGATCGATGGTGGTGGTGGCAGTGGTGGATAGGGAGGAGAAGAAGGGGAAGGGTGGAGGGTGGTGTGAGGAGAAAGAAGAATGAAGGAGAATGGTCGCACCAATGGCGGAGGAGCGACAATAATGGAGTTAATAAGGTGGTGATATGGTTGCTTTAGAAAAAAGGGGGTTTTAAATAAAAAAGAAGGAATATATAATTTCAGATCCATTCACGCGCTTAAGAGTGGTGAAGTACACATTTTTTGCCATGTCAGCTATTGTGTTTAATAGGCACAAGTAAGACCAGGTTTGAGTGTTCAATAGGTACTGACCTTAGTTAAAGTGTTAAAATAAAAATTGGAGCCAAGTTTAAGGGGTCGCATAGGTATTTGGCCCTATATATATAGTATTACAATATTTTCACCACCATCAAGCTATAATTGGTGGGCAGGCCCCTATTGAGCAGTATTACAGTATTTTCACCACCATCGAGCTATAATCGGTGACAGGCCCCTATTGGGCAACCTCTAATAAGATGGTAAATTATATACCGAGTTTACTATGATCGAGCGCCTATGAGCGAACCAGAATGGCCGAGATACCGATCCTAGTATGGCCGAGCGCCTATAACTGAGCCTACTATAGTCGAGCAGTTACACGTACCGAGCCTTATAAGGCCGGACAACTATTTTAGTTACTATATTGAGAGAGTTGAGTCAGTATCAACAGGTAAGTATATCTTCAGAACATATTTGACTCCCAGTTACTTTCAGTTATTATATTATCAATTCAGTTTCAGCTTTCAGTTATTTTATTTCCTCACATACTCGATACATTATTTCGTACTGACGTACCTTTTCTGTGGAGGCTGCATTTGATGCATGTAGGTTCAGATAAACAGACAGGTAGACCTCCTCAGTAGGTGTTGTCCGAGTTCAGCTTAATTGGAAAGCTCCACGTCCTTCCAAGTTGCTGGGTCTAGGGTTTTGAGTATGTATGTGTGTGTGTGTGTATATATATATATATATATATATAGGTAGGTCAGGGCCTTATTCCGACCATAGTACATCATCAGTAGAGGCTTGTAGACATATCCTGTCAGTCAGTGAAGTATGTTAGGCTTGTATGTATATTTTTTTTATTTGTCAACTGTAGTAGTTATGACGGTCTTGTCGGCCCAGCTTTATGTTAATGTTCAGTCAGAGCTAGTCTCCGTTCAGTTTTATATTTTGTTTCATCTTTGACACCTAGTTACTTTCAATTATTATATTATCAATTCAGTTATTCTATTTCCTCACATACTCGGGTTATTTCGTACTGACGTCCCTTTTCTAGGGAGGCTGCATTTCATGCATGCAAGTTCAGATAGACAAACAGGTAGACCTCCTCAGTAGGTGATGTCCGAGTTCAACTTGATTAGAAAGCTCCACGTCCTTCCAAGTTGCCGGGTTTATGGTTTTGAGTATGTATGTATGTATATATATATATATATATATATTATAGGTAGGTCGAGGCCCTATTCCAACCACAATACATCCATCAATAGAGGCTTGTAAACATATCCTGTCAGTCAGTGAAATGTTTTAGGCTTGTAGGCCTTGTATGTATATTTTTTTGATTTGTTAGCTTTAGTACTTATGACGGTCTTGTCGGCCCAACTTTATATTAATGTTCAGTCAGAGCTAGTCTCCGTTCAGTTTTATATTTTATTTCACAAATTGTCTTGCAATGTGGTACCATGGCCAAAGTATGACATTGTATGTTCAGAGTCCCTCAGTCTCAGGTTGGTACACTCGGTTAAGTAAGGCACCGGGTGCGTCTCGCCTCCCCAGGTTTGGGGCGTGACAAATATTGTATCATAGCAGTTCTATCCTATAGAATCTACAAGTCGTGTCTAGTAGGGTCTTGTTTATAAATGTGTTGTGCATCACATTATATAAGCAGGAAATTATAGGGCATTTAAGAGTTGGTTACCCTTCTTTCAAATCTAAATCGTGCTGTAGAACTGAGTTATAAGAAATTTTGAGTTAAACTTACGTATTGGTGTTTGCATACAGAGATGACGGTGACTAGGAAGACTATGACTAGTCAGATGAGAGATACAACAGCGGGTGAGGGGACCAACAGGGTACCCCCAGTAGATGAGGACCAGTCTGAGGCTCAGGATGAGACCCCTACTCAGCCATTACCGGCTCCTCCACCACCTGGGGAGATTCTCAGGGATACTGCACATCCAGTTCCCCCTCCACTTCCATTTGGTAGCTAACCAGAAACAGGCTAGGGAACCAGCTAGTGCAGGATTTTCTGAGGGGTCTGGGAGTTTAAGGGTCTGAGAGTTTATTTCCTTGAGTACCCCAAAGTTCACGGGGACAGATCAGAGGGAGGACCCGCAGGATTTCATAAATCAGCTTTACAGGATCTTTCGGGTTATGCATGCCACGGAGAAAGTGGCAGTTGAGCTAGCAGTTTTTTGACTCCGAGATATAGCCATCCTTTAGTACGAGGGATGGGAGAGGTTCATGGGACGTGATGCACCTCCAGCTATTTGGGAGAATTTTTCAGATGCCTTCTTTGACCAGTCCTTACCGTGGGAGATCTGACATGCTCAAGTCGATCAATTTCTAGCCCTCAAGCAGGGCAATATGATCATTCAAGAGTATAGTCTCTGTTTTGACTCATTGGCCAAATATGCTCCATCCATAGTTGCTACTATGCGGGACAAGATCCACAGGTTTATAAGAGGTTTGACCCCATAGTTGACCGAGGCATGTGCCACCGCTACATTGTAGGATAATATGGAT